CCCTTGTATAATCTCCTCCAACTGAGTGCGGGCTGTACTTTGTGACTGACTTCTAACAAACTGCATAAGGCAAAACTAACAGCATATGACTTAAGAGTCTAGATCATAAAAGAAATTGTGGCATCACTCTTTCCCTCCTTTGGATCACTCAGTTGAGGGATGTCATTCACCAGACTGAAAGAGCTTCACGGACAGGTTCATACAGTGGGAACTGAGCTCCTGTCAATCAATGGCCCTGTGAGTGAGCTGGGAAGCAGACCACAGCTGTCAAGCTCTCATTCGACTTCAGCCCCGGGTAACACCATAGAAGTACCCTTCTAAGAGCCATCACATTCAACCAGCATGCTCCTGGACCTCAGACCCTCAGACACTGCGCGTGATGCTTTAAGCTTCTAGCTTTTAAAATAATGCGTTCTATAGCCATTGATAACTAACACCTGAGGTGGAGGTGAGGAAAGGATGTTAAAGCAAGAATAAACACAAAATGCTTAGATGTTCATCACATAAAACATCACATAGGGGACTTCCCTGGCAGTCTACTAGTTAAGACTCCGTGCTTCCAATGCAGGGTCCAAGAGTTAGATCCCTGGTCAGGGAACTAGAGTCCCAGATGTCGTGCAGTATGGCTAACAGAATAAAACAAAATCACACAGAATTTCACATTTTACTATTTTTAAAAAGTTTCTATTCACTTGCTGTGTAATGAATAGACTGTAAAGGAACCAAAGGAGAAAATGTCAATCTTAAGAAATAAGTCGAGTTCACACAGGATACAAGAAGGCTTAAATCAATTTCACTGGCATTAAAAGTTTTTATTTGGAATTTGATCCACAATCTATACAAGTTATTTACAAGGCATGAAAATGGAAAACAGCACAAAATACAATTGAGGTATAAGCTAAGAGCACAGTATGTCATGTTTCAATAAATATAATTCAAAATTTGTAAACTAAGTGACCAGATAGATGAGTCTTGTTTTATAGTAAAACCATATAAAATACTTATTTCACGTGAGGTAGAGGACAGTTTTGTGTGTCATGTAATGCAACCAACCACAGCAATTTTAACCATAAAACTGTACATCATTGGCAAGATTTTTAAATTGAATTATGGTCAATGTAGTCAACAATCTGTTTCAACAGTTGCACAACAGATCTTTCATTTACTGCTTTCACAGATTAGAAATTCAGAAATAACTTAAGACTACTGTGTTGGCTTAAAATTATCAGGATAAATTAATACTTCTAACAGGATGGTTAAAAGCAAATATATTTTATTTCTCCCAAACTACAATTCCCCAAGAGTTGTTCAAGATTTAGCAATTCTTTTAGTAGGATTTTTTTTTTAACTATAACTACTTTAAGTATGCTGTGCTTTATTTTCAAGTGAGGTATCTATATTAAAGGAAAAAAATCTTATAAATTTCTTTTACATTCAACTAAATACACTATTTTGTTTTCTGGGCCTAATTTTTTTAATTTCAGTTTTTACATTTGTTCTCTTTAATTCAAACACAGTAGCACTATATAAAACATTTATTACTATCACTAAAAAAACAGGCTCCAAATTGCATTATGTAGTTTAGAAGCCATTTAAAATGGATTTTACAAAAAAAAAGACTGTCCTTTTAAACAAGATGCAATATAGAATACCCATACAAATTCCTTCCAATAATGGAAATGTTTAAGTGTCTTATGCCAGGAAAAAAATTTAAGCTGTTTATTCAATCTCACAATGTATAATACAGCAGTTTAATGTGTCCCTTATTGCTGGCAGCTTCAATAAAAACAAGTAGTTTTAAGCACAGAAATAAATGTACAGTATGAGCACAACTTTTCATTCTATTAATCTGTAATATGCTGTCGTGCAGAGTAAATGCATAAGAGCAAATAAAAGGAAGGATTCTTCCCTAAGCAATCAAAACATAAGTCATTGAGAAGAAAATTTTAGAAACTGATCAAAAATCTTCAGCACCAGCTTTACTACTACTTACAGGGAAATAACTCTGAGCATGTATTATACTGCTCGTTTATCATTTTACTTTTCTTCAAACAGAAACCAAAGATGTGTAAATAAATTGGGTGTTCTGTCATGACTTCTAGAACATATGGGTAACCTGCAAGTATCATTGTACTCAGTCTATTACACCTATTTTAGCAACTGGTTTTTAATTCAATATGTACAAATGATTTTGTATCTCAACTGGTAATATATTAAATATATTATAAAATTAGTTCAAGAACCAAAAAACACCCAAACTCTCCTGGACACAGAAATTCAAGCAAAAGAATATGCCTTACAAAACTAAAGCACAAGCCAAACTTACATTATTGGTCAAATTCTTTCAAAGTGTTATTTGTGAAACCAGGGTTGTTCAGAGCTTCCTCAATGACAGCAGGTTTTACATTTACAATAGATTTGGTACCTTTTTCTCATCAAGTTTAGAATACAGAAACTATCATCATTCAAATTTAACATCACTTATCACCCAGTCAACTAATATTCTATCTTTTCTTCCTTTCAAAGATGCTCTAGCACTTCTGATATGTCATTCCTTTAACGCAGCTTTTGAAAGTAAATACTTTTATATTTTTCCTAAAAAGAAAAATATCATGAAGTCTGAGGGAAAATCTGCTTGCCTGATGAGTTGGCACACAAAAGTTAACATTAAAACAAACTTTAAGCTAACAACCAACACACAAAATGAGCATGCAAAGAATAGAAGAATAATTATATGGATAAGATATTTTTAGCAGAGGCCACTTGTAAAGTATTACAAAGTCTCTATACTTTCAAGCTATGTTGTACAGTTTAACTTAAAATTACTTTTATCTAGAATAGGCATACTATTTACAGCTGACTTAAAAAAAAAATCACTATTTTCAAAGAAGTTAGAAACTGATGGCACATCAATGTATCTTCTGAAAAATGAAAACTATACAATTTCATGTGGCAAGTTTCCCTTATGTGAAGGACTAGAAAAAATAGTTCTTTATTCAAAGCTAATAAATTAAGAGCTTATGATAATTTAAAAGTGATTAAGCATTGCTTAGAATTTTTAAAAACATATTTTAACGATTAAACAAATTATTTTAGATGTTTTGAGTTGAAACTTCAATAGCTTATCATTTAAACTAAGTAACATAAGTAGATTTTGAGTGAAATAGAAAAATAAATTATACAGGCTTGAGTTTTACCTCCCAAAAAGCTTAGCTGTGACACAACTAATCCACAAACTAAAACGAAACTGTGTCATAAAATATCTGTGTTTTTCTTTCTCCAGATAAAGGCAAATAAAAAGTATTAGAAGCATATGTCATTTTTAATATTTATTCCTGTATGTCATTTTAACATGTGTTCTTCCTTAAGGAGATTCCAAGGATCAACTAATTAAATTGCAGGGTTAACACAGTAAAACTTAAATGGAAAATAGAAAATACACATTTAGATGATATGCTAGTAAAGAAACTATACTTTGGGAAGTACAAAAATTCTTTTAGGCTATGTAAGTACCATTAAGCAAAATATGAAAATAACTGGTTAAATGATAACCTACTTACTTTTGAAGTTCTATACCAAGCATCTATTGTCTATGATGAGAAGAGTAAACCTTAACTTTAGCTGATTTATTTAAAAAATAAATTTAGCTCTCAAGTAATTTCATATAGTACCATAAACAAGAATATAAAAATTAAATTCATGGGATAATAATGTCAATTAATGGTAGCTTCAGGAAACTTTCTTTTAAAAAATGCATACTAAGAATTTTACCTAGTATCTTTTAAGCCAAGAATTAACTAACATGAAATTTGCCATTAAAGAATGACAGACTTTTCTGTGCAAAAAAAAAAAAGTGCAGAAGAAGTTGTCCCTCCCCAAACTACGGAATTCCTGTCTTCTAAAAACTATCTAAAAACCTCTTAGTAGCAGATGAGTAAACTTCCCTATATTAACCTATCATACACTACTAGTTGACTGTAAATTCCTGATTTTGATATTAAATAATAACTGAAAATGGTCCATTCGTGCACATTTGGTAAGACTTAACATTTAAACATACAAAAGTCCAAAATAACCTTCAAAGTGTTTAATATCTTACAATTTAAAGGAAAACAAATCTATTATATAAATTTCAGTAAGACTCACAACTACATATAAAAACTGTACAGGATTATGGATTGTATAGAAACCGATGTACATCAATGGTATCAGTTTTTCTCAAGTACATTAATATTTTCACAATTTCACTTTTAACACAAAAGTTCAAAAATTATGACATTTTATTCCCTCTTCAAAAGTTGCTACATAAAAAATTTTCTCTAAATATAGCCACATTTAAACAGAAAATCTAATTATAACTGCTTCTTGAGTTTAGCAGCAGTGTATAAGAAAGCATATTATCTTTCCCCTTGGGGTGTGCTATAACCTCATCAATGAAATTCCTCTACTCACAAAATGTCTCTTAGGAGACAGTAAATAGAAAGGAACTGGTGGAAATTCATGCCACAAGACAAAACAAAATAAAAAATTTTGATTATAATAATGAGTATACTTTCAACTTAGAAGATTGTGTTAATGAAAAAAATGGAAAGCTCCTTAAGTAGCTCTATATATGAAATATGAAGCCACCACTGTATCTAAAATATGGATAACAAAATTGATCAAAACTATTTTCCATCACACAATGCAGCTTTTAAAAAGTATGCAACTGTTAAACTGCATTAGAAATATAGGCATCGTATCTAATAGTTGAAACTGCAAAGTACTTATTTGAAGCTGGTTGAAAAGAAAAGTACAAAGAAACATACATTTTCATTCATTTGGAAAATGTAAAAATTTATATACTAATATATAATCTCTTCACTTTCTCTGATCTACAAATGGATAGAATGCCTAGTTATTTCATGCAGATAAATTGTTCAGAATCCATTTACCAAAGTAAACAAACAAATAAAAATAAACCCTGTTGGGAACACACAGATGGATTTCTTTGAAGGTTTCTATTCTTTAGCAGTCTTTGATGATTTCAAAATTTGCAGCTTTAGCTCTTTTATCATCATCTCTAACTTCTGTCTTGCCTCCCGCTCCTGTCTGAGTTCATCTTGGAGTTCCTGCCTATCAGCCTCAGCATGGTCCAACCTCCGTCTCAGCTCTGCCAGCTGTGTGATTTAGAAGACTCTGTCAGTTTTTCATTCAGTTTTGGTTTTCCATTCTTCTCACATCATGGCAAAGACCTACTTTCAAACCACTTTTTGCAAAAATTAACTATTCATGCATATTATAATCACTTGAGTATCCAATACTATTAACCTGACTTTGAAATGACCTTAAAATGAGGGCAAAACAAAGGGTCAAGGGAACTGAACACTTGGAACACTTTCATTATGCCTTACACCTCAGTATACGTTTTACCACAGCATGCTCAGATTAGGAGTTATTTGTTCATCTTTCCCAAGTTGTGAGCTACTATCCACTTTTGCCCCAGGGCTTGCGAACATAGTAGGCAACAGTTTATGTTTGTTAAGCCATTGATTTGAAAGCCCATATATTACATTAAAATAACACTGATAGTCAGATAGCTAGAGATTAGCAGTGAGGACAACTAAACTACAGAAATCCAATAAAAATTTAAAGTAATGCAACAACCAAGATCAAAGCAATCCTCTTGAATGATATAGCATAAAACTGTTTAACAGAATTATCTGGTGTTTTTTTTTTTTTTTTAAGAATTATGTGTTTTGAAATCTAGCCTAAATGAAATGAGTTTTAACAAAAAGTAATTTCTTTAATGAAATGTAATAGCTTCAATTTCCACATTGAAAAGGCAACACTATACAAACTGTGTAATTCTTACCTGTGCTGCATATTCAGCCTCTTTATCTTTTTCTAAATTTGAGTCACAGGTACATTTTTGCTTCATTACCTGCTCTAGTTTTTTCTCTAAGTCTTTCTGTTCAACATAAAATTCTTCCATTCTTTGAGCATGTTCATTCTGCAGAGATTCAAGCTCTTTCTGTAAATTCTGCTGTTCTTCAGTAAGTTCCTTCATTGCTTTTGAACTACTCAACATTTCAACTTCCTGTAATTTAAACAGTCACAATATAATTTTTACTTTATTTCTATCACATCAAACCTTTCAATTCAGAAAAAAACAGGACAGAAAATATCTATTATGAAATTGAGGTGTCATATCAATCCTATACATAAGTAGTTATCTTGAAAACTATTTTCTCTAAAAATTTAAAAGTATATTAATATTTCTTGTAAGTATAAAACTGAACAATGTTAAATGCCTTTACAGCATCTCATCTTGAAGAATATGCAAAAGTATTTTTTCACAATGGACTATCATTTAAATAACAATTTTACCATCTGAAGTTGTTGCTTCTTCTGTAAAATTGAGTTCAGTTTTTCCTGTTGTTTTACGTAAGTTCTCACTACTTCTTCCATGATTTTTCCCTTATCGTCCTCACAAACGACATCTTTGACAAGAAGTGGAGATGAAGCTCCAACATCACAGTCAGTTCCTGACTTGCTTGTGTCTCTGGCTAAGCTGCAAGTGGTAGACTCAGGTTTCTTTTTGCTGGTAGAATTATTTGAGACTGATGGATCTTCAAAGGCAAAAAAAGAAGTAACAAAATATAAATACCACTCTGTCAAAAGTCACTAGAATGATTCATAAATGAAATTAAGAAAACAACTTCATTTATAAATGAAATAAAAAAAATAATAAAGATACTCAGGAGTAAATTTAACAAAAGCAGTATAAAACTTATACAACAGAAACTATAAAATATTATTGAAAGAAATAAAAGACCTAAATAAATGGAAAGGAATCCTATGTACACAGATTGGAAGACTTAGTATCATTAAGATGATACCATGATCTGGAAGTCAGTGATCTCCAAAATTCCTATGCTGAAATCCTAACCCCCAGTGTCATGGTATTAGGAAATGAAATCTTTAGGAGATAATTAGTTCATAAGGGTAGAGACCCCATGATGGGATTTATGCCCTTATAAAAGAGACTCCAGAGAGCTCTCCCACAATTAGAGTACACAATGATTAGACGGCCACCTATGAACCAGGAGGCAAACCCTTGGGACCAAATCCACTAGTGCCTTGATCTTAGACTTCCCAGCCTCTAGAGCAGTGAACGGGTAAGTGTCTACGGTAGAAGTCACACAGTCATGTTATTTTTGTCACAGCAGCCCAAACAGACTACAGTAAATGGTAGTCCCAAACTGACCTACTTTTTCAATGCAGAGCCTATCAAAATCTCACCTGGCTGTGTGGCAGAACTTGGCAAACTGATTCTAAAACTCATATGGAAATAAGAGGAAACCAAAATAGCCAAAGTAATCTTGAAAAAGAAAAACAAAGCTGGAGGACTCACAATCTCCAATTTCAAAGCTTGTTAAGAAGCTACAGAAATCAAAACCGTGTATAGTACTGACAAAGACTGAGTCCAGAAATAAATGTATTCTTTTACAGGCAACTGGTTTTTAACAGGGTGCCAAAACAATTTAATGAGTAACAGTAGCTTTTTCAACCATGTTGGGATAACTGTGTCTATATACGATTGAGGTTGAACTTCACATCTTATATAAAAATTAATTAAAAATGGGTCACAGACTTAAATTTAAGAGCTAAAATTCTTAACTGGATTAGGCAATGGTTTCTCAGACATGACACCTAAAGTAAGCAACCAAAGAAACAACAAATTGGACTTCATCTGAATTTAAAACTTTTGTTTTCAGAGAACACTACCAAAATGAAAAGACAACTGACACAATGGCAAACCCTCTATCTGGTAAGGCTCTAGAACCCAGAATGTACAAGTCACTCTTACAACTCAATAATAAAGAGACAACCCAATTTAAAAACAGGCCAAGGAGCTCAACAGGTCTTTCTCCAAAGATCTGCAATGTAGACTTCCCTGGTGGTCCAGTGGCTGAGACTCTGCAGTCCTAATGCAGGGGACCTGGATTCAATCGCTGGTCAGGGGACTAGAGTCCACACGCTGCAACTGAGAGCTCACATGCAACTAAAGATCCTACCTATGTGCCGCAAGTAAGACCTGGCGCAGCCAAATAAGTAAAATAAACACTAAAAAAATAAGAGAGATTTGCAATGTCCAATAAAAAACATGAAAAGATATTCAGTATTATTAGTCAACTTGGAGAACTGCAAATTAAAACTATGAGATACCACTTCACGACCACTTAGGATGGCTCTCATCAAAAGACAAACAATGACAACTGTTGGCAAAGATGTGCAGAAACTGAAAACCTCAGAGACCGTTGCTAGAAATGAAAATGGTATGGTTGCTTTGAAAAACAGTTTGGCGGTCCCTCAAGATATTAAACATAGTTACCATATGACCCAGCAATTCCACTCCTAAATATATAGCCAAGAGAAATAAAAACATATGTTCACATTAAAACTTGCGCTTAAGTGTTCATAACAGCATTAGTCATAAAAGCCAAATGTGGACACATCCAAATGTCCATCAGTTGATGAATGGATAAACAAAACAGGGTCTTATCCATCCACACAACAGAAAGTTACTAAGCCATAAACAGGGAAGAAGTGCTAATACATACTATAACATCTACTGAGAAAACATCCTTAGTAGAAGAAGCCAGGCAACAGAAGGCCACATGCTATACAATCATTTTATATGGAATGTCCAGAATAGGCAAATCCATAAAAACAGAAAACAGATTAGAGGCTGGTAAAAGGGGAGAATGAAGAGTAACTTCTGGATTACAGGATTTCTTTTAAGGTTGATGAAATGTTCTGAAATTAATTGTGATCATTACATAACTTTGTGAATTTACTAAAAACCACTCAATTGTAAAATCTAAAAGGATAAATTTTATGGTATATGAATTACACCTCAATTTTTTTAAAGCCTCTACAATACTTTAGGAAATATAATACAAACATGGTGTAAAAGTATGTTACTAATTATTGTTTGCTATACTTAAATCCAAGGAAAATCTCAAAATTAAAGTACAAACTCCTCCCAAAGAATTGCAACTATCTATGAAAACAATTACATGACCAAAGGACTCTCCCATTGCTCTGAGAAAGCTGAAAGAACTGTTACATTTGCCTAAGCTGCAGGCAAAACTCTGCAGCTACAGAGAGGGTAACACAGGCCACATGTGAGCAGACACATCTTGTTCGGTAGACTGTATTTTAAAAGGCACTAGAGCTATGCAGCTTTTTTGTTTAATGTCCAGCCAGCATTCTGCATTTATGCCATCTGCATGGCTCCCACAGCTATTCGTTTTCAATCCTTGCTTATTCCACAACTTAATGTCTCTGAGTCCTATACCTAACTACACTTAGTTAGGTAGCATAGTTGATTAACAGTATCATGTTAGTTCCCGGTGTATAACATAATTGATTCAATACTTTTACAGGTTATCATATATTTTTTAAAGATAATTTTATTAATCTACTTTTGGCTATCTATTGTGCTGGCTCTTCGTTGCTAGACAGGCTTTTCTCTAGTTGAAGCAAGTGGGGGCTACTCTTCATTGCAGTGTGCAGGCTTCTCATTGCTGTAGTTTCCCTTCTTGCAAAGCACAGGCTATAGGGCATGCGGGCTTCAACAGCTGCCGTTCCTGGGATCTAGCGCACAGGCTCAACAGCTGTGGTGCATGGGCATAGTTACTCCCTGGCACGTGGGATCTTCCCAGACTTCAGAGTTTTGAAAGGTGGTTGTTTTTTTTTTTTAAGATAAAAGCTTCAATTATCAGGAAAATTCTCTTATTAAAAGAAACCCTCTTTTTGAAAATGCTGGATAAATATGCTGATTAGGTACATGATTTTAAAAAGGTAATTTCTGAATACTTACCTAGGCAGCTATATAATTCTTTACTTGTTTTTAGATCCATTTTCTCCTGTTCCTCCAGAGAGACATCTGGATAAGACACTATTTTTTGATGTTTCCCACTACTGTGAGGCTTCTCTGACTGTCTTGGTATAGATTTGCTTGCCTCTGTTTTTGTGACCTCTTTAGCCTGGGGTACAGCTGAAGTAAGTGATACATTTGGGGCAACCACTTTATCACACATGTATAAGTAGTAGCTGAAAACAAAGAATGGCAAAATAAGATACATACTACATTTAGGTAAAAATATATTAACATCAATTTCTATAGTTAATTTTTTTTTAACTAAAAAGATAACGCAACAATTCAGAAAATAAGGGTCTTAGAAAAGAATTCTTGAAAATGTCATTAAGTAGTTGAGGCACAAAGAGCAAAATTATGAGGATATTTCTGTTATTTTGCAAAAAGTAGTTTCTAAACAGTAAAAAGATACCCACTGAAAAGAAAACCAGTTTTCCTTCCCTCAAAACCTCATGAGAACTAAAACCAAGAAGTACTTTACAGAGCAGTTCAACAACCCTGAGCTGGTCACATTCACGCCGAAAGAAAACAGACTACATGACACTTCGGAGGACCGTTTCCCTGTGAGCCACCCCTCCAAAGCAAGGAGTCCATGCTCTTTGCTATAGTGAGGCCGATTCAGACCACACTGCATGGCTGTGGCCTGATTCACCGCAGCCCCAACGAAGAGCTCCCAGGGCCCTTCTCCCTTTTCAAGAAGATAATCAGCGTTCTGAACACTGCCCAGCTACTGGGCTATCCTCCTTGGATCAAACTCCACACAGCAATCTTCTGAAAATACTTTGATATTTACTACTTAATTTGATAAAACAGCAATAATAAAATCAAGCAAAACTAGGATCAAAGGGATCCACCAATACCAATTTTGCTCAAAGCTCACATAAAATTGTGCAAGAGATTATCTGAGAGACTAATGGAACAAATTTGAGCTAGATATTTAAGTACCATATGATTAACTATAATCTGCTTAACCTTTAGCCAAAAGATGCAACCATTTAAGTGACCTAACACTTCATCCTCTAAGTTCTAAATAATCTCCTCTTACGTTACATTTTCTTTGTACAGGACATCTATATTGTCCCTCTTGACCAATTACATGAATTCTGAGGGTGAAAACTCAGTATCTGGCTAAGAAAACTGACAGGTTCAATACTGCTCCAAAGTTTATTTCAAATGTAAAAGGAATAGAAGGAACTATACAAATGTAAGTAAGATTGAGATTCTTCATCATTGTGCTTGGGGAGATAAATGTGTACAGCAGCAGATAAAAGTCTAGGTTTTTTAAATAAAAAGTTTATAATCTAAGGCGCATCTTTACTGAAAATATGAACATTGATTTTGAGGGGTGCGGCTACTATGAAAACCTCTAAGTTCCAAAAAAGGTTCATTTTAAAATATCAAAGTTGCACACCACACTCTTGGGAGACTTGGTTTACCTCTTGAAGGGAAATAAGGAAAATTTTTTAAAACTTTCATTTTTTCCACTTTAGGGCAAAAAGGAAACAACATATTTCCAGGAAAAAAACATGGAAACACACGAAAGAAGTTAATTCAAATATCCAACCCATTTAGAATTCATTCCCTGAATTAGCAAAAAAAAAAAAAAAAAACCTAAAATGATATAATGAATTCCCAGAGCCTAGAAAAGCAGCTGCTGTATAGATGTTGAATGAAGGTATGAACGAGCTAATACCCACTCACCTGGGATGTAAAAATGAATGTGTCTGAGAGACATGGTCACCCTCCTGTTTTATAACTGGATACCATGACTGCAATTCCATTCCTGGCGGTGCATCTATCTGTAGAAAAATGTAGAAGTGGAAAAGTTTATTGAAGGAAGATGTGATGGTAAATCTTAGGTGTTTATTCAACAGAGCCGTAGGCTGCCTCTGGAGAACACTGACTAGTAAAGAATTATGTAATTCAAGAATCATCTTCAAACAGGGCAGTCTTTCTTTAAAATACCATGTCTAGTCACTTAAAACTCAAAGAGACATTAACTACCCCATCACAAGAACAGCTTCAGCATGTATATTAACATGGACTACCAGAAATGATTTTATCAAATATCATACTTATGGAATCTGTGTTAAAAATCCATTTTAAATAATAGTACTCTGCAAATGTACAGCATTGATAAGTTTTGATTCTTCTTCTTGCTACTACAATCAGCTATAACCTACCCCCTCCATCCCTATAGTATTTCTTCGCATACTATATTAGACAACATCCTACAATACTTTGCCAAATTTTGAAACCACTTTGTCTGCTAACACTCATCAGTAAACCACATTTTATCATATATGAAAAGCTCGTTTTAGCCTTGTACTTGTAAATAAAGGAAGAGGAGAGGGTGGCTACCTCAAAGTTCATGATAAGAACTTTATATCCTGCTTAATTCTAGCAAATGGTTTATTAAGTAGGTACAATTATCTCCACTTTACAGATCAGAAAACTGAGGCTCAGAAACTGAGAAAGAATAAATAACCTGTGGTTACTAACTTCCTCATTTGGTTTGTTTTACATGTCTCCCCTCCCCCTACATACACATACTGGGAGATCAACATTTGTTAAGAATTATTGGGCAAGGAATTTAAAAGACTAACAAGGCTGTAAGATTATAGGGAAAAGAATAGTATTTTGAAAGGATTTAACAGGTGAGTATTCAGTGAGGGCCTCTAGACTCTATATACAGAGTAGAATTTGTTTAAAACTTCACAATTCTGGTCAAGTGTTCTAAAGAATTTCAAGATCTGGGGCAAAATCAACTGCTTATTTAAAAAACACAGCAATCATTTGTTTCGTTTCTCAGCCTATAGCTTAGTTCTGCCATAAATCAGAAGGGGAAATGACTGCTGGCAACAGAAATACTAAGTGATAGATGCCAGGTGCCAGCTGACAGCCTACAGAGACAGATGAATTACAACACACAAACTGATTCAAAAACAAGAAATCTGAGGGCTTTATCATACATAGGCTAGGAAAAATAACCTATTTCAACTGTTCCCTACCCTTAAAACAGACTATCTGACGTTTAAGAAGTCTTGGGTCAATATGACATAGTTATAGTCAATATTTATACTTACAAGTAGCATACCATATACATACGTACTCATACATACACTTAGACTGAACAGTATTTGACATTTTAGATTTTAAAAAAGGTTAAAGTTTTAAAAAAAGACACAATGCTGAGAATAGTTTCATTATCTAGAAAACTCATTTAGGCAGAACATTTTTCACCCCAACACTGTAATAAAAGAGGTGTTAATGAACAAAAAGCTCATTCTAACAAATCAATGAAATATAAGATCAGCTCAAATTAAACGAGAAACTCTTTTTTAGAGGTCATGTGTTAAATTCATTATTTAGAAAATAAAGAAAGCTCCACTTTACATCAGTTTTATATCTGAAACATCCTGGATGTACTACTGCCCAAGAAATCAACTGTTTCCAGATTTTTTAAATTAAAACTATTAAAATTTATATTTATATTTAAAAGTTTTTCCTATTATGGATAGCTGGAATTTTAAATCTTCAGAATAACAGATTCTAAACTTCTTCAGCTAAAGATCTTGACTTCAAATCTGACTCAATTTTGATCATGTTCATTTCAAAATTCTATAGCTTGATAAGTTTGTATAAGTTTTACTTTTTTATTCATGATCCAAACTCAGTATAGTTTTGTTTTGATAACATCTCTAAACTTCAAATGCCACCTTAAATAACTGTTAGCACATTCGTTTCTTTTTCAACACCCATCCCTCTCTTGTTTCTGACCTTTATTTTGTTTCCTATTCTTGCACCTACCCAGGAAGAGAGACCCAGAGGGAGGGGGTTCTTAAAAAAACCTTCCTTAAAGATCATCTAGTGCAGTCCTCTAGCAAATGTCTGAATTTCCTAGACAAAACTCCTGATGAGTGGTTATCTGGCCTCTGCTTAAGTAGCAGCTTGAGGTCAAGGACTGTCTTAATTACTTTAGTATTTTTAGAACCTAGCACCACGCCTGGCAATGCAGTAGGGACTCAATAAGTATTCGTTGAATGAATTCTGAGTGACGGTGTAGCTCATCAAATTCCCAGGGTGGCCCCCTTTAAGGCTCCTCGGCTACCAGTCTCTTTCACATCTACTAACACCCGTTTATTCCATGAAGTGCCAAAGAATCTCAATTGTCTCTGGGTGCATTTTTAGAGATCAGACTTACAAATTAAATAATACAAATGATGGGGAAGTGCACAACACTAACCAAGATAAAATGTTGGGAGTTAATTTTACCTAATATTCTGTGGTAAGCCATAAACACATTTACAACAAATTATCCTAACTGCATGTTAAAAACAATTAAGAAAAGCACATAATACACAATAGAACATTCACAGTCATGCCAGATTTTCTCATCTATTCTGCATTTGTGGCAACATACAAATTAGGTCTCCAAAAAAATAACAGTATAATTAAATGGCAGAGCAGTAATGCTACTACTGATCAGGAATAAAAATGAGACACCAGGATACACACAGCTATTGCCTTTTCCTTTACCTTTCAATATGAGGATAATGTATTCTCTTCAAGTAATTAAACACTAAAACAGACTACATTATTTAGCAAAGAAAAGAAACAGATCCCTTAGTAGCTCAAGTTAGAGCCTTAACATTTTAAAATACTTTTATCATTCAACTTCCCCATCATTATCTACCACATAATGAACAGATGGCATCCTCATCTGAAACACATAAGAAAAATTTCAGACTTATGATTTCATTCCTAAAGTTCTTTCTCTAAGTCATAAAACAACAAATACGTCTAAGAAAGCAAAATTTAAACAAGTCCAAAATGTACAGTAGAAGAATTAATTTTAAATAAGTAAATATTAGAAAATATTTTACACAAAGTTTCTCTAAATTTCAACTTACTGTGTTATGTATACATGACCTTTTAATAATCAGGCATCCTGATAAAAGAACTACTGTATTTCGGTACAATGCTTATTAGTCTCACAATGACAAATAATAGAGAACTTGGTTTCATTTACAAAAAGACCAGTAAGTATTTCTGTCATCACTTTCTAGTAACAAAAGCAATTTCATCCACTCAGCACCATTAGTACCTATATATATTCCAATCTGCACTAAAAAAAACATAGACCAATAAGACAAAAACCCTTTAGAACTCCCAGACTTATCTTCAATAGTAAACTTTGACTTTAGGTGGCCCTCTTAGTTTCTAATTATAGTGGCAGATTAATATTGTGATCTTTAATTAAACCCTAATGACAAACATGACAAAAGATCATGGCATCCAGTCCCATCACTTCATGGCAAATAGAAGGGGAAACAGTGGCTGACTTTATTTTTCTGGGCTCCAAGATCACTGCAGATGGTGACTGCAGCCATCAAATTAGAAGACGCTTACTCCTTGGAAGGGAAGTTATGACCAACCTAGACAGCATATTAAAAAGCAGAGACATTACTTTGCCAACAAAGGTCCATCTAGTCAAGGCTATGATTTTTCCAGTGGGCATGTATGGATGTGAGAGTTGGACTATAAAGAAAGCTGAGTGCCGAAGAATTGATGCTTTTGAACTGTGGTGTTGGAGAAGACTCTTGAGAGTCCCTTGGACTGCAAGGAGATCCAACCAGTTCATCCTAAAGACCAGACCTGGGTGTTCATTGGAGGGACTGATGTTGAAGCTGAAACTCCAATATTTTGGCCACCTGATGTGGAGAGCTGACTCATTTGAAAAGATCCTGATGCTGGGAAAGACTGAAGGCAGGAGGAGAAGGGGATGACAGAGGATGAGATGGTCGGATGGCATCACCAACACAATGGACATGGGTTTGGGTAGACTCCAGGAGTTGGTGATGGACAGGGAGGCCTGGCATGCTGCAATCCATGGGGTCGCAAAGAGTCAGACGCGACTGAACTGAGTGACAAACACTGATGAACTAAAGTGATCAAGACAATATCTCCAAGTATTGATGGGATTTTAAAAGTTCCCCTCAAAAAATCAGGATTAGATTTTTTTAATATCTGGAAAAAGAATTTTTTAAAATAGAATTTAGAAAGACAAAGATTAATTTGTACATTTTGGTATTTATAAGCCAGTATACGTATGAAGGACTGGTAGATTGGTAAATTTCATAGTCTATCCTCCTATAATGGTGTGCTTACATTAAATATAATGCATACTAAATACACATTATTTTGTACAAGCCAAACATAAATTGTTAGCAACCTTAGTAAATACACGACTGAACTCACTGTTAAGCAATACTCCTTAGGTATAAAGCAAATATCCCTGCCAAGTTCCCTTTATTATATATAATAATAAGACATTCAAGTGGTCCATAAATGATTTCAGGACACAAGACACCCTACCACTCTATCAGACAGCTGCCAACATACTCTTTCTGAAAGAAACTGCATCTCTCAGAATAGGATCAGGTTTCCTCAATACTTTCAACATGCTGTAAATGAGTGTTTCAACAACTGAAATAGGAATAGTGTTACAAGGTAGCAATAGGTACTTAAGAGATTTTAAGACTTAGTTTTGTGCCTCATTTCACTGTAAAAATAATCACTGTAATAATTAATTTATTAATCAACCTGATACAAACCTGTAACAATACGATCTAAGAACTTCCACTAACTTATCAAAGATGATCTGCAGGAAATCATGGGCTTCCCCAGTGGCTCAGCGGTAAAGAATTCGCCTGCCAATGCAGGAGACACGGATTTGATCCCTGGATGTGGAAGATCCCCAGAAGAAGGAAACTGCAACCCACACCTGGGAAA